AAGTTAGTGTCCTATTTATAGTCTTACTTCATATACAAATGCAGGCACAAATAAAAATATAAGCATCTAAGAGCTATTTGGCAAGTTTTAAGAATAGGGGGACCATTTAGCAGAGCAAATCTGTTCACAAATCACTATTAAGATTTAAACTTTTTTTTTTTTTTACAATAACTTGAGTTAGAGTTATAACTGTTTGCTTTTCACCCAGGTGAGCACTGCCAGACTACTGGAGGACAAATATTTCTGTGCACGTGTTTGGTTTGGTTAATTTACGAACTTGGTTTCATTCCATTTTTATAATCTGGTTTTTCCAGCATTCCACTTCTCTGCTCTGTGTCTTTACAGAGTGTTTTAAAGACTGAGTTGTCTGAATTCTCATTCCCATTCCAAAAGAGGAAGTCTTTAAGTGGCAGGATCTTGGGTTGGGTTTCTGCTTAATCTGTTTTTACTACAGTGGCCAGTGCAGACTTGCTGGTCTCTGATTAGGCCACTTTGTTTTTCCATATGCTAATCTTTTTAGCAAAACTGCACATGTACTGTTTCAAAAGTCAGATAAGGATTTTTAAAGAACAGTGGTTCCCCTGCCCTCCCTCCCATTACCACACTCAGAGGCAATCACTTACACTCTTTTAGGTGGTTGTTTTGTTATTTGTCTCCCTCTCTAAATAAAATGCTAATAATGCTCTCAAACGTTACTGTTTTTGGCATTATCTGACTTCTCACTATGGAAAATGAAAATATAGATTTCCTTAGCAAAGTGGTTTTTTTGTTTTGTTTTGCCACATACAAGAATTACTTTTACAAATTAAAAAAGAAAAATTGTTTAGCATCTCCAAATTGTCCAACACTATAGTGAAAGAAAAAAATAATAATAAAACATAAATCGTTCTCTTCCAGAAAGAGATCCATGCCACCACTCATAAAGTGACCACTGAAAATCTCCCAGGAGCTTAGTGGTGTATTTTTCTAAGAGGATATTCTGTTATACTTCCTCCAGAATTACTGAGACCTGTATGTACACATCCATTGCTAGTGCTTGGAGATTAAAGTGATAGGTAAATGGAATAAATACAAGTCCTGCTTGTTTAGCAACTATGTACCAGGACAGGCACTGGACATACATTTTTTTCTAATACTTGAAAAAGGTACTGTTAGGGAAGATAGGGAAACTAATTCCAGAGCTAGAATTCAAATCTGTTTCTGTTAGACTCTCTAGCCATAATCTTTCCGCTATACCTCAATTCCTTTTTCTAGAAAAAGGTCAAGACATGGGTGATAATGGATAGTGACAGTGAATGGTCAGAGAAATTACAAAGATGACGTATTGCTGATTTCTTGTTTGTCCATGACAGCATTACAGCTTGTACTACACTTCCATGAAAGATTACCAATATAATTTGCAGTTAATATTTGCTTAGCTATAAAACAAAACATTACCAGTGTTACAATTCAGTGTGTCTATCTTTATATAGGATACTCCCTAAACAACCTGAAATTGTGGAAGAAACCAGCTCTAAGTTTCCTGTTTCTATCAAATATGTTCTTTGCCCTCTATACTGGTTTAGTTCATCAACGAGGTACTCTTGATGTCATGACTAATATTCAAGAACTCTGTTACAACAATACAAATATATCTTCAGCTTCAGTACTTATGATGATGCCTTGTCACTCTACTCCTTATTATAGGTAATAAAATTTGTTCACTATATGCTGTTATTATGAAAACTACTTTAAAATTCCTTTTAGATTCCTGGATTTAAATTAATTGATCAAATGATTATAAGAAATTTGAAACTGCTATTTATGTCAATGAAAATCATATACAACTTTTAAATAAACTTTAATATTCTTTTTTCAAAACAACTTACATTTAAATAATCTGATCAAAAGCCTGTATGATATTTTATACTATTTAAAGGTAGTATAAAATATCATATAGGCTTATTTGATGGTACTCTTAGTAAAGAAATTCACTTATCATTGATCCGTACAAACCTATCGTACATCTTATTATTTACATAATTTTGAAATAATCTCAAAACACTGGATTCAAGTCCAGATTTACTGTTGTACTGTTGCCCTGGTTTTAAACCAGTGTTTTTAGTCTCTTTGGATATCAGCTGTCTTGCCTGTAAAAATTAGGGAATTCAATTAGATGACATCCTAATGCTTGGATTAAGTGTGTCTGGGAACTAACACTGAAACTGCCTTTAATTATGCAGGACGTTTAAAAAGACATCATTGGGCTTCCCTGGTGGCGCAGCCGTTGAGAGTCCGCCTGCCGATGCAGGGGACATGGGTTCGTGCCCCCGTCTGGGAAGATCCCATATGCCGCGGAGCGGCTGGGCCCGTGAGCCATGGCCGCTGAGCCTGCGCCTCCGGAGCCTGTGCTCCGCAACGGGAGAGGCCACAGCAGTGAGAGGCCCGCGTACCGCAAAAAAAAAAAAAAGAAAAAAAGACATCATTGACCCTATGCTTGTATTTCAGGAAGCTGTATTACTTCACCAATTGCCCAATAAGGGTAAAAGGACAAAGCAAACAGCTTTCCTTTAGAAAATTCTTTACCTATCTGGCTTTAAACAATCTGAAGTTAATTTTCCATGTGCACAGTCAACTTAATATCAAACTTGATATCATTTTAAGGTAATTTAACACTTTTGGAATACTGTACTTAACTGAATCATTAATGCCAATCATTAATATGCAATTTGGAAATGTCTACCAAAAGCCACAGGTTAGATGGATTTAAGACCCCAAGTATCCCTTTAACTTGAGGATCCTATACTATATAAAAAAGACTAGAGCTGCGAGAGGGACATTCACTCTCCATCCATGCTCTCAGTAGAGTTAACACTGAAGAGAACAGGAATTCTAGAGGCACCAAGATGCTCTCCCATACATGGTTGTAGTGGTTGATATCTTAGGCTTTGTATAGTTCACCTAGTTCTTGTCTTACATTTTTTCAACTTGCACAATGGAGCACACAAAAAAAAGAAAAAACAGTCTGATACCTACTTTGGAATATAAGGCTGGCAGCTTTTTCTCAGTTTCTGCTTTCCCCCGAAGCAAAACCTTCATCTTCAAAATTATAAAAGTCATGAAGTATTTGAAATAACTTTATTTATTTAGGCATTGTTGGGTCTTTGTTGCTGCGTGCGGGCTTTCTCTAGTTGTGACGAGCTGGCTTCTCATTGTGGTGGCTTTTCTTGTTGCAGAGTACAGGCTCTAGGCACGTGGGCTTCAGCAGTGGCAGCACACAGGCACAGTAGTTGTGGCATGCGGGCTCAGTAGTTGTGGCGCAGGGGCTCTAGAGCGCAGGCTCAGTAATTGTGGAGCACGGGCTTAGTTGCTCCATGGCATGGGGGATCTTCCTGGACCAGGGCTCGAACCCGTGTCCCCTGCATTGGCAGGTGGATTCTTAACCACCGAGCCACCAGGGAAGTCCCAGTCATGAAGTATTAAGGTCTTGTGTAAATTTATTTTGTATGCATTTCATAGATAAAAATAAACTTTTATCACTTATTAATTTTTCTTCTTTTTATAAATTTATTTATTTTTGGCTGTGTTGGGTCTTCGTTGCCACGTGCAGGCCTTCTCTAGTTGTGGAGAGTAGGGGCTACTCTTCGTTGCGGTGCGTGGGCTTCTCATTGTGGTGGCTTCTCGTCGCAGAGCACAGGCTCTAGGCACGCGGGTTTCAGTAGTCGTGGCACGCAGGCTCAGTAGTTGTGGCTCGCGGGCTCTAGAGCGCAGGCTCGGTAGTTGTGGCGCACAGGCTTAGTTGCTCCGCGGCATGTGGGATCTTCATGGACCAGGGATCGAACCCGTGTCCCATTGGCAGGTGGATTCTTAACCACTGCGCCACCAGGGAAGTCCCTATATTAATTTTCCTGAGGCAAAGTTGTAAACATGGCTTTTTGCATGGCCCAAGTAACTGGCTTAAGTTGTTATGATTCATCAGTCCATCTTTTTTACATACACTCTAGTCTTTCTATGCCACAGTAAAACCATTACTTATTTGAATTTTGATCAGTGAACCCATGTTGCTCTCTATTACTAAATCTTACTTATATAAATATTTAAGAAAAAAAAAAAGGAAAAACTTGTCATGTAAGGATTCAGAGCAGAAAGAGGAAAAGAATCCTTTCTGGTTCATGATCAGTTTTCTACTTTGCCAGATATTACTCTCTTATTAACAAGCAACATACCCGGTCCCAAAGGCCCCATGCATCCCTGGAACAGCATACTAATGTTATAGACTACTGAGTCCCACAAGCTGCTGACCTACTTCCCACCCTGAAATGGAGTTTTGCTCTTTAGTTTGGACTTGAAGTTACTGCACAGGTACACAGTGTGAGAATCATATTCTCCATTTTTGAGAAAACTGCATTAAAGGTGTGCCTCCTCACCTTAACTGGAACCTAGTTTAGATTCAGATTTCACATTTTGTTATGTGAGCGTATCTTAAGAGTAATTTGAAAACTTTCACGAAAAAAAATTTTTTTTTTACTTCTTGTAACTATAATGGTAACTTTCTTTTTATAGCCATGTCCATCACCCACTTCCAATGAGATTTCTCCAGTGTCCCCCAGACCTGACTGGAAAAAGTGATTATCTTGTTGAAGCAGATATATTTTATCTAAATCCCTTAAAGTGGTTGTATAGAGAGTTTCAAAATGATTCAACGCTGCCTACTCACTTGATCATCTTCAGCATCTTGGAGGAGGTAAGGGAACATGAAAAAAGGTATAACTCAGTATTTTTATTTCACCTCAGGTTTAGCAAACACTCAGGTAAATAGACAACATCACTTTTTTTATGGTCCCTTTCAACCCATATTTTATAACTGGTCTTTTCCCTAGTCCAAATCAGCCCTAGTTCTATAACTACCAAGGAATATATGTTACTTACCATGAGTTAATTATTTTATTAAGAAATTGCATTGTTTTATTAAGAAAAGGGTTTCAGAAGAATAGGTCATTCTTAAATTCTTGAAACAGTACTCAGGAAAATGCAGCCTTTATTTACTTAAACATTTATTTACTTCTAGGAAATAAATCCTTTCCTAATTTCAAACAAGTATGAGAGAACTGCTGTTTTCTTCCACACTCACTTTCCGGAGCGTCGAACTGGAAGTCACATATACGTCTATGAACGGAAGTTAAAAGGGAAACTCAACCAAACATGAACATGAAATTCTGACTTTGTTTAGATCTTTCTCAGAGAAATAGACATTGCTGAGCAGAAATATCCAGATGCTGCTTAAATATGCTAGTAAATACTGGGTAAAATTCATAGAACTAGCAAAAAACCACTATGAACTGCTTCACCAAATATCACTACTGAGGAAATATATGAAAAATATAACAAAATATAAAATCATGTATTAATAATGCAAATGCCAGATTTTAAATAAAGACCTTTAGTTTTCCTCATGGTGTAGTTTTATTGTTTCTTCCACAATATTCATATGTGCAAGAAATTTCACAAGAGAACAAGTCAGCAAGCTCGTAAGGCAGCAAATTCTTCACAAGTCAACGGGCTCTTGAACCCACAAAAAGACAAGAAGTGTAAGATTATAAAATGTTAGAGATGAAATTCCATCACAATGTACTTTTTTCAAGTTCTACTGGAAATTTAACACAAATATCAGTGTTAACTACACTTTGTCATGTATGATTTGAGCTTGCTTTAAGCTCATACACTGAAAGGAAGTTTCATTTCATGCACAAAATCTGTTGCATGCCTGGCTTCCTTAATATAAATCTACAGTTGAACATTTCCAGTGCCAAAAAAAATTCAGCAAAGCTAAACTACAGGAAAATGCAAGTTAGTAAGCTTTTGCTTGATGCTTCTGAGTAATAATATAAAATCATCAAACTGATACTTAGAAATGATAAAAAGACACTGTTATCTTGATAATTTCATCTTAGTTTCAACACCAAACAGTATAGAAAGCATCCAAGTTTCTGTTACAGTTTTCTAATTTAACTTAATCACGATGGTCAATATTTAGGATCAAAAGGTAATTGCCCCAATTCTATTTCAAGGTTTGCCATGTGTCTTCCATTAGTGCGAGCATATTTATGCCATTTACCTTCCCTTTTATAAGGTTGTGGCTGAGGGTGCTTCTGCTCTTGTTTTCGATGCCTGGAGCTTTCAATATTTACCATACGTTGCTTTTTATCTGGTCGACTGAAAGCAGTAAACACATTTTTCATCCATGTTAGAGTTAAATTTATTTAAACAAGAAACAATTTTAATGTTTTTCTCCATTAATCTATTATCTGAACACTGAAAAAGGATGTTAAATTAATCTGAAGTATAATCCTACTATAACCATACGAAAAAGATTCAGTGAGTTTATACTTTTATCCTATAGAAAGAAAAAATAGACAAACTGTGTGGCAAAGAGGGAAAACACTCAATAGATAAGTAGAAATGTGACAATAAAATAATGAGATGTGTTTCCATTATTTTCCTCCTTTCCTATAAAAATTAATCCCCCCCCCCAGTGGCTTCATTCACGAATACATACACATCTCTTACAGAGTTTCTCTCTCTAAGCTAAGGCTTATAAACAATGTCTACATGAACAGTTCTCTATCTCTATAATCAGGCTTCTGTCACTACTTCACTGAAACACTCCACAATGCCATCCACGGCCATCCAATTCCCAGCCAAGAAATCCAGTCTTTTCCGTTTTTTTGTTTTGTTTTGTTTAAGCATTTAACACTGCAATATTCCTTTTACTTGAGAAGATCTTTGGATTTTCATGATGCCACTCTCTGGCCATTCATTCTCAGCCTTCTTTCTCTACAACCCCTTGGATGTTGGTATTCCCCAGGAGTCTGATAAATACGTCCAGCCTAGACTGTCTACACGCGCATGGAGTCTGGGCTAGAGACAGTCATATAACCAACAGCCAACTAATTCTCTACTTGTATGTCAACAGGTACCCTCCAAACACAATTCTCATTTCCAATTCCCCTTATGCAAAACCTTATGGTATTCCTTAGCGTAGCTGATGTCACTATCTAACTAGTGACCCAACCCAGAAATCTGGAAATCATTGTTACTTTCTACTTCCCTTTCACAAGAAATACCAACAATTTTACTTACTATATATTGTTCAAATCTGCCTCCTCCTTTCTACTCCAGCTGCTGCCCTAGTTCAGATACCCATCAGCTCATGTCTATACTGTTTCAAAGACCGCTTTCTAGCATCTAGCTTCACCCTTTCCAACAAACCCTTCAGGCTACTGCCCGTGACCCAAAATGCAATAAAGCAAGTCCTTCAGCATAAAGTGAAGGTTCTTCATGCTCTGAATCTTTTCTTCTCTTCACACCCCAGCATTACCTTGCATCCTTAAAGTAGCATGTCTTCATATCTACAAATCTGTGCAAATGAAGTTCCCTTTGAGTGGAATGTCCCACCCTATCTGCTTGGCAAGTTCTCACTTCTCCTTCAAAAGTTTGTTAAAAAGTTCAGTTCAAAGGCCATCTCACTTATGAAGCCTTCCCAAACATCTCCAGACTGAGGCCACCATATACATATGCCTCCATACCTCCACTGCATTCCTTGTACTGACCTAATTCTCCAAAAGCTTGTGAGCTCTTTGACAGCAAGAATTTTTCATTTGTTTCCTCGGGGCAGCCTCACAGTACTTTGCACTAGATATGTATTTAATGACTAAAGACACCAAAATCAGTCTCATTATTTTATAGACACATTACATTTACTCAAAAAGATATATATATAAAACTATCTCAAAGTTAGTTCCCTTTCTAAAAGGTAAAAAAATAAAGCTAAGAAGATTAGGTTAGTTTCATGTTACAGAATAGAAAGCTGATATGCAATGGATACAATATTACTTTTAGAGATTATATATAAAGCACACACATTAGAACTTTTGGCTTGCTAAGTTTGCCACTTTGATCATACCTCTACCTTTACCAACAATAATTCTGTAATAAATGTATTAGATATCATAATTTAGTTGGTAAATGGAATAGATAAATGAAAGTAAGTGGGACACCTGAATCGTTATTCTGATTTCAAAGTGAAATCTGTATTTTCCTCCTAGCTTCCCAAAGTGAGTAAATAAAAAATTAAAGGAAAATAATTTCACTTAAAATGATTCTCTTTTCATAAAGTATAATGAAAAGAAACAAAATAGGCTAAAATAGGATTATATATCCTTAACTGATTTTTAAGATAGAAATTAAACCATTTGCTCAAGTCAAATTGATTATATGAAATTTTCAGTTTGTAATAGATTTTAACTTAAAATTTTATCTTTCAATTTAATTTATCCTAAATTCTCAGGCAATAAAGTACTTTTACAAATAGTACTTTTGTTTACAAGAAGTACTTTTACAAATACAGCTGACCCTTGAACAACGTGGGTTTGAACCGCGTGGGTCTACTTACACATGGATATCTTTCAATAGTAAATACTTCAGTACTACATGGTCTGTGGTTGGTTGAATCCACAGATGCAGAGGAATTGCAGATACAGAGGGTCCGACTACAGGTCATATGCAGATTAACCCCCACGTTGTTTACAGGTCAACTGTAGTAACATTCTAAGAAATTTATCAAATGATACAAATGCTATCCAATATAAATGTTAAAAACTATTATAATAATAACATGGTGCTATGTAAACCGACCTGGGTCCATATGGAGGGGAAAAGGTGTGACCAAAGAAGTGTCTATATATATATCCATCCAACTTCTCAAATGCTCCATCATTATCTATTTGATATTCCTTCATGTCTTTAAGATAATCTTTAACATCATTAACAAAGTCAGTGAAGAGCTTCTGATCATGTATAAAGATACCATTTAGGAAAAATTTATTGATGAAGTGATCAAGTTCTTTCCAATGATGAAAACTATCCAGTTTTTCTAATAAATACCTTTCAATTAACTGTCTAAATTCATCTATCCTTACAGGATTCAACATTTTAACATTAAAAAGATTAATGGATTCCTGTTGAGCACATTCAAATACACCAGAACAAGCCTTTCTGAAAGAATTATAATTTTCACCACAGTCATGCTCAGCACTGCATTTCTGTGAATTTGTATTTTTTCCAAATTCTTCAAAATGAGGCTTTTCTTTCCTTCTCTCTCTTTGCGTAGTAGGGCCTCTACTATTCTGGTTTTGTGTATGTGCCTTATACTGTGGATATAAATATTCACTAAAAACTGTTGTTGGTTTTTTGGCTGCTGCTTCTTTTGTAGCACCAAATCTTTTATTGCCTTTTTCATCAAAGATATTCTTGGTGGTATCTTTGAAATGTCTGAAAGTGGATTTAACTGAATCTGAGAATTTTTTCAGATTTTCTTTTACAGCTTCTTTAGCCTGTTTAATTTTTTCTTTATGATGCCTCACAAACTCCTTGGTAGAATTCTTCATGGCATCAAATGTTTCCTTAACAGAACCCAAAAATGTTTCCTTTGACTTATTTTTAGCTCTGTGGTTTCCTCTGTTCCCTTTCTTTTTTCCATCAGTTTCTTGTTTTCCATTTTGATCTTTTGCTTCAACATACAGTCTTTCCCACAAGTCAGAACGCTGCTGTTCAAAGTTTAGCTTGCGCTCCAGCTCAGTGAGTCTTTCCCGTAACACTTCTATTTCCTTTTTTTCAGTCACTACACTGGGAGAGTCTGGGTTGCTATATGACTGACTAGAGCTTAGCTGCTGGAGTTCCACCCTTAAAGCCATGGTTATTAGTTGTTCTCTTTCCAGTTCCCTCCTTAGCATCTTTGCTTCTGCCAACAGAGTCTCCTTTTGATTAAGGAAGCTTTGTGTTTTCAGCTTTTCTTCTTCCAAATGCTGCTTAAGTTTCTGATTTTCTGTAACTAATTCAGCACTTGTCCCTTTATCTTCCAATATCCTAATCTGTTCTCTTAGTTTCCTTAACTCTTCCTGTAATGAAGATAAGGCTTTTTCTTCCTTCTCCAGAGATATTCTTAGATACTGATTTTCTGTATCAAGGTTCCTTTTCTGAGTTTCAAAGGACATTTTCTCTGCTTCAGTATGGGTCCAACACCGTGCAAGGTTTTCCTTCAATGACTAAATTTTTTTGAAAGATAAGAAAGAAAAATGTCAAGAGCTTTAAAGGCTGAATTTAAATCTTTAAGATACAACAAATACTCCATAAACGTTTAGTGTCTATTTCTGCAGAGACTATCCTTTATGTAGTTTTTTCAATATATGAAAACTGGAAAATACAAGGTTCATATGCAGGAAAATGCACAGCAAAGAGCTTCATCAAAAGAAAAACATAGCACACTGGAGGAAGACAGCCTTCTATCTTTTGACTACAGGACTCCAATCTCTCCTGAGAAAGCTCCTAGAGAGAATGTAGGAAGGACTAAAGGGTCTCTGATCCTTGGGTGAGGGCGATTATCTCTTATAAAAAGTAAAATTACAGCTAGAGATGACTTCAGGCTTCAGAAAGTTCTGTTTATACTCACTGCACTCTTTGAAGGACAAAAATTTCAATAATCTTAGTCCTATTTGAAAGATCTTGGTCATACGCAAATTAACATCTCTAAGTTCACATAAGTTATACAAGTTCTCCCATACTTTAGAGAACACACTGAATCTTGGTAACATTTACAACTAACTTCTCCAATTTCAATTAATTTTCTGAAGAGACTGTAACCAGATTAGCAATGCAACTCTGAAGTCAACATTCTTGCTGAGAAATTATGTCCAGTCAGGTTTAGAGAATTCTGCTGCAGTGCTAGGTAGCCTTGAATGATCTTTCTTTCAATACATGTATTAGTAACAAACTTTCATCACAACAGCAAGAAATTAAACAATATGCTTAAACAGGTTAATGGTTATAGCACTATCCAGTCAGTTAATTGTTAGAGCACTATCCAGTCAGTTAAAATATCTTCATAAATCAGCAAAACGATATAACTTTGCTTAATTTACTACAAATATTATGACTATTCCCTTTGAATCAGACCAGAAAAATATCTGAATTACAGAGACCAAAAAAAAAAAAAAAATCCTTTGAATGAGGATATTTTCCACTTGAAAAATAAATATCTGAAATGGATGTTTCACTGTCTGGCTCATTAATCTTCGAAGAACAAATTAAAATTTAAAATTTCCTTACAGTCATTTCATCTGCTCTCCCTGAGTGAGAGAAAACAAGTTTCATCTACCCAACAGAAATGGACTTTGGAGAATATTATGCTTACTGAAGTAAGTCAGAGAAAAACAAATACTGTATGATATCACTTATTGTGGAATCTAAAAAATAATACAAACAAATGCATGTAGCAAGACAGAAACAGATATAGAAAACAAACTAGTGGTTACCAGTGAAGAGAGGGAAGAGGGAGGGGCACATTAGGGATACGGGATTAAGAGATACAAACTACCACTATGTATAAAATAGATAAGCAACAAGGATATATCCTGTACCACAGGGAATTACAGCCATTATCTTGTAATAACTTTTAATGGATTATAATCTATGAATTACTATGGATTAGCATGAATTACTATGCTGTACACCTGATACTAATACTGTAAATCAACTACACTTCAATTTTTTTTTAAGTGAACTATGGAGTAGAACAGACTAATGTAACATTATCTTTAAACGCACAAGCACGGGGAGCACCACAGAATGACTGGAGGGTACAATATTCTGTATCTGGTAAACTCTAAAATCTTGAATCAAGTGACTAAGCAGATGCTGGACAGGTCTTCCATGATGATCTTCAAAATCCAAACTACATTTAACAGCTGGAGACAAAAGGTATGCAAGAACTGACTCAGCACACATCTATGCAGGGTGAGTCTCCTTACAGCCAACATCATTCTATAGAACCATAAACCATGATGGTAAGAAGGAAATGGCTGCCCTTTTTTATAACATCCTCTGCTCAAGGCAGGGAAAACTACACTATTTACAATTAACTTCAGTAGTCCCTCCCTGAAAGATATATTTCAGATGTTTAAGTGGGATTCTGTCTTCCAAAGAAATACAATCATAACCCTATAAAGAATATATAAATAAACTGTGAAGGAAATTTAGGGAAATGGAAGGAAAAAGGAATAGTTTACCTTTCTACCCTGAGTTTATCTGTAATCCCTACACCCTTCTTAGGCAAGAACTAGAGAGGAGACCAGGTATTTTGCTAATCCTCATAAACCCAGAATAGACAGCACAGTCCTGTTGGAGCCAGGTGAATTTCAGGTATGAAGGTGTAACATGCTTTCTCTTTCTTCATAACTGACATGAAACCAGAGAAAAAGGACTGGGTGATTATTTCCCTTGATCAAGGGTGGCTCCTTAGAGAAGCTACAAACTCTCCTCTCTCTCTCTCTCACTGAATGAAAATTTTTTGCTTGGCTCTATAAAAATAACGTTAATAATAATAATGTTTCATAGATAATATCAATTAAAATAATGTTAACTATAATATAGTGATTAGGAATAACATCTTTGGAGTCAAATAAACAGAATTAAATTCAGCTCTGCTGGCTGCTAGACTTGGGAAAGTTACTTAACTTTTTTGAGCCTCTTTCCCAACTATAAAATGAAATTAATACTTGCTTAATTCACTGGGATGTGGTGAGAAATAAGAGAAATACTGTATGTGAGGTACAACAGTGCCCAGGACACAGTAAGTACTCAATCAATAATTACCAATATTATTACTGATTTACTAATCTGCACTGTAGTTGTATCTGAATAGCATAATTATTGGCTAACACAATTTTAAGATTTTATTTCTAGTACATACCTTATAATCTATAAACGACCCTTGTTCCTGTTGACACTGGGAAAGATAATCCTTCATATCATTCAATTCATCTTTATGTATCTTTCTGACTAACTGATGACGCTTCTGAATCTGAATTGTGCCTAAAAATAAAAATTTTTATTAGGGATATATAACATAAATGTCATGATTACCAATATTTTTAAACATACAATAAAACATTTACTTTGCATATATTTAACTGCTTAATCCAGACAGGATCATTTTCTTCAAAATATCAGCATTTCACAGTTCTATAAAAATTCTGATTATATAAACAAAGAAGGAATAAGTAAAATCTTACAGTGTCATTCATCAAATGGTGGTATATGGATGTTAATTTATAAATCAGGCCAAGTAGGTTAATATATTTTTTACTTTATTTGGCATACACCAGGGATATTTAAGCAGTTCACTATCCTTTTGATTAAAACAAGCCAGACCATATTACCTTACCAAACAAAAAAATTTATGTAAAGTTTCTGTCTTACTGTTGTTTTTAAGGGCTGAGGTACATAAAGTGTTGCATTCCCCACTTCAACAGAGAAAGGAACAAACCATGGAGTCTATTCACAGGTTATAAGTAACTAAGGAAAAATGAAGATGTCTAGTTTTTCTCACTGTATTTTGCCTAAATGATATAGCACAAGCCCAAAAAGAATAGCAAGAAAAATAATTGGCTAACTATAATTACCCACCATTCTCAAAGCCAGATCTTTTAAGAACTCTGCATTAGATGGAGTATCACCATCCCTATCCCAGTAATAAAGAAATCGTAAATCAACCAGAATGCTCTATATTTTCATCCTAAAAATCAAAATGTTAATTTGCCAAGACATGCTGTTCACGTGCTGCTACATGCTTCATGCACGAGAAAAACAACACCACTAAATCAAAAAGAAGGCAAAATGCATTTGGCAACCATATTACATCTACTGAGTGGCATACCATTATGTAAAAGACATCACAGAATTTTGTAATGAAAGAATATAATATGGGACTGAGTGAACTGATGAGGATGATTATAATTTTTGTGACTTTGTGTTTGAATTAAAAAAAGAATATAATAATTAATAGTTAATTGATTTCTGAAAAATTAACTTATTTCTTCAGTACATCTTGAAAACCACTAAAGAGAAAACTTCTGCCAAGTTACAGACAACTGTTACCAGTTAACAGCTATGATATCCTGTTAGAATTCACTTCTCAAAAAAAAAAAAATCACAAATTTGCATGGCAAATTTGTTTCAATATTACTCAAAAGAATCTCAGATTTTTTGAAATATTGAAATAAATTTATCTATAGTTCCCAAGGCAACTGAAAACTTCTTTTTTTCAAACTGCTAACAGAATGAATTCCTTTGACCACTGGAAAATAACTTAAAACTAATGTGTTGAGATCTGAGTTTGCAGTACCATTACATAGCATACGTTTGATGACTATCAATGTGTCCTCTGTCAATCAATCTCACAAACAATTAGGTATTTTTTTCCCCCTCTACATCTTCAGCTGCCTAACTATGAAGTGTTACAACCCCAGGGTTTAAGGCCTTCTGGTTATATCCACAAATCTGCCTACCTTAATCACATTAACCCACTGTCAGTTTTTGCTACCACTGCTGTAAGACTTCTCTTCTACAGGTAAAGAGTCTCAATCTCACCAGAGCTTGCAGCCAATATATCCAGCTGCCTGCTAGGCACAATTTTGGGGGTGTCTTCATTTAAAAAACAAAAAACAAAAAACTGAACTTCAGCACCTGCCCTAATTTATTCTAAAATAAAGTTGGGTAAAAACAAACCGAACTGTGCTCACCGTCTATTAACTTTCTCATCTAGCAAAACTCTTCCCCTCTAACTCCCCCAACGCCAAAAGTAAAGCAGCTAACACACTTCTTGGAATTTAAAAAGTAAAACCACCAATATCTCAAGCATCCAGGCTCAAAGTTCAGTTTTCCATTGTTACTTCAGTGTCCCTTATTTCACCAACCTTCTCTCCATCCCCACCATCACGAGAACTGTCAAGGTCCTGATCACTGAATACCTGAATTACAAAACCTTCTAGTTAACTGTTCTAATTTTTCCCACACTATTTATCTTCCTGCACTTTTCCTCTAAAATTACTGCTCTCAGTTCACTCTATAAATCAAACTCTCCTACTCGGATTCCAAGATGTTTTACAATATAATAGCATCCCACATATTCCAACCTATTTTCCATTATCTCTAAATATCTATTCTGCTATAATCCTACCAGTCTTTTCAGTGCTCCCAAACCTAGCAAGTTTACTTTCAGATTATCAGGTTCTCCACTGCTAGAATGTTCTACTTTCCTTCCACATAGTTAAGTCCAGACCCAACTTAAATCCTAGCATCTCTAGGGTGACTCAGTGTCATAGTTTGAGCTATGATTCTTGTCTGTGCTTCATAACTTAGCACCTAGTTATATTGTTATACTGAAATGTCTGCTGAAAAGGACAGCCTATACTTAAAGCAACTCCATGAGGAAACCAATCAATTGAACTCTGCTGTTGATTTGGAACATGGATAGTCTACAGGTAAAAGAAAGAATAAGACAGGTGCTTCATCAAGAATTTTTAAAAAAATTTTTGTAAGCACTTTCAGGACCTGAAGCAGTGCCAAATACCTATAGTACATTCTTTTACTATCCTCAGTCCTTCTAGTTCTCTCTTCCTTCCAAGATAGATCTGACACTCCAAATTTATATCACCAAGGTTGGTGAATGTTCTGAGTGATTAACTTAGTAGTTCTTGTTAAATGATTATAAAGCAAATGACTGATTATGGAGTGCAATGACTGACTTCACAGTGCCTGAGACATTCAAGCTGGCTCTAAAATCAACTCAAAAGAGCTCTTAAAGTATTGAGATCGGTGCCACAATTAAGAAAAAAAAATGTGATGTCCTTTAAAAGTGACCTTGAAAAGCTATCATTCAGGTTAAGTTTTTTTATGTTCCCTGAGCCAATCATATTATTATATGGACCTATTATTATGAAGGTTGTTCCTATTCTGAAAAGCTAATTTGAAATACTACAGGAAAATATTTATTAAATACAATTAATAAAGTAAATTTTACAAGTAACCAAAATTCTTAAATAACAGGGAAATAATTTCTCAACTTTGAAAGCACTCCTAAATTGATCTTTCTACAAAATACTTAAAGGTCATGCAATTTGTAGGGTTTTAATGCAATGTGGATTAACATTAAATCACTGTCCAATTTTTTTTTAGTAAGAAAAGAAGATTAAAGTAAGACCTTCTCCTTTGTTACCTCCATGTTTACCTGCAAGGGGAAAAAACCAAGCTCAAAAAAACATATTCATATATTTGCTCCAGCTAGATAATAAACAAGTTAAGTATGTATTTCAAGTCAAATCTCATTACAACAAACTTCAAGGGAGGATACAAATTACAAGATCCCAGTATTAAATTCAAGCAGACATCCACCAGGAGTCTAAATACTTATTTTTATTAATATAAAGTTAAATACAAGAAGAAACACATTTTACTGACTCTGACTTTAAAGAGGATTATCTTCACTAAGTTTTTTCTAACATTACACTATACTGAATAATATCTTTTCCATAAATCAACAAAGGGAACATATAATTCTTCAATCTTAAGGAACACATTGTTGGAAGGAACTAGCAAAACTAGATTTACTCAGAAAGCTAAACTGTGGATTATGTAGGCAAAAATCCTAAAAGTAGTTAATACAAGGCAAACTGAAATTTGTGAAGTTGACAAGATCTAAGACATTTGTTTAAAGTGTCTTTTTCAAAATTCTAATAAAGCAAAAAGAATGAATATTCAGTTCTCAGCCTTATCTTTGTACAAATATATACCTTAAATAAAATTCAATGGTTAGGCTCCCAAAAGAAAAGTAACACCACATGGAATTCCTTCCTCTTTTCAACCAGGATACTTTTAAAGGCTTTGCATTAAGAAAATTATTAATCAATGTAAATAAACACTAACAAGGATAATAGTGAGCAAAGTATAAAACAAATGAATTCTTAAGTCATGTGAATCATGGAAGTAACAACAACGGTCACAAGATACAGTGCTTTCATGAAACCTAAAAGTAGAAATAATGAGCACCTATTATTGTGACATTTCATATGTAACTATTTAAGTGGAATTTAAATAATCCTCCTAATAAAGTCACAGTTAAAACTAGTTTAACTGTGATTCTAAATTAAAATGATTTGCCTTGTAATGAGCATTTCAGATTTTTAATCTTCCAATATTTTCTTTAAATAAATATATATATAAGCAATCCTTACATTTCTTAAATACTACCTCATTTCAGTGCAAACAGCTTTGTGAAGCAACACTATCTCCAGTTTCCACATGAGCAAACCAAGGCTCAAACACGTACAAGCTTTCCAAGGACATATATTTTAAGGAAGACACTGAAAACAGATCCCAGAATTCCTCGCTCTTTACCACCAGTTTATATATAACAAATTTTCAAATACTTACCGTAGAAATGTCCAAATCCCATGCTGATTGCAATCACCAATGCAAGTATAACGCATTTATTGAGACCACTATTGAACTGACGTTTACACGGCTCCTTAGAAGGTTCAGTTTCTTGTTCAGCAAGTAATCTTTCTTCAGATTCTGAACTAGAAACAGTCTTCTTCCTAGCACGGCGTCGTCTAAAGGCCGGACTGGGCTGATGACTGGTTTCATCACTACTGGATTCGTCATCGCTAGGCTGAGATGAAAATACTATTTTAAAAAGAAAAATGTAGATAAATATTAAATATTTTAGAAAAGCCTTCCCAGTAAATATGATTTAGAATGCCATCCCTACATGCCTTTTTACATACAACAGCCAAGAACAAAACAACAGAATAGAAACAAACCTCAAGTTTTCAAGTTTATCAACATAAAGCCAAAGATTTCAACTGTGATACATAAGAAACTGTTAACTATACTCTGTGCCTTTGAGGGTCTGGTTTTGGTTGTTTTTTTTTTTTAACTTCCCTTATAGTTTACACCATTAGAACAATCATTCTCATAGCCTATTAAATTTCACTGCTATTAGAGCCACAAACAAATACTATTTCTAGAAGGGGGCAAAAAAACCTCTATCTCTTCATTTAATTTCAAATAGAGGTAATTTAAGCTCAACTGTTTAAGGAACAGAGGGAAGTATATAAGCAGTTCCTGAGACTTAAAAAAGACAACTACCAAAAGTTTCCTTGAGTGTACTAGTCCCTAGTTTTGTTTCCATCCTATGAGCCCAAAATCAAGGTTCAAAGCACTATAGTTTAACACAGGTTTCCAGAAGTCAGATGAGCCCTTCCCTTCGACTGCCACTCTTACTAGAAGGTTATTAATTTTACCCTCTAGTAAATATGTCAGCATGAGGAAGTGACACAACAGCTATCTCCGATATTAAGGACTAGTCTTGTGCTGCTCCTTCATGAAAAGAATAATAAAGAACAACAAATTGGAAAAAAAATTCCACAAGAAATCTCAAGGACTAGAAGCATATTCATTGGAAAAAAACATCTTCAGCTTTTTCAAGTGTATAATTTCTTAACATTGTTCCATATATCAATAAACTATATGCTGACACAGAAGATTAGATGACTCAGTAATAATTTCCATAGGCCAGAGAGAAGAAAAAAAAAAAGCACTAAAAGGATAAAATGTGAACATGAATTTGATACAAAGAGCTCCAAAACAACAAACATTCATGCTTCGAAAAAGCAGAACTGTTCTTCAGAAGACAGGGTATCCATGCCACAGCAAAGCTGGTGACTTAGGTTAGACAGTACTTCTAAAAGATGTATCATAGAGAATTTATAACTTTCACACTTACAACAACAAACACAAAGACAGAAGGCACTACTGAATGAATGAATATTCCTAATATTTAGTGATAATAGATGCCACTGAGAGATCTTTTGGTCATAACCCTTATGCCCATCATGTTTATCTGGTTATTCTTGATCACTAGTTTTTCCAAGATGTCGTCGCCTCAGCTGTGAGGTTACATTTCTTGGAAAAAGAGAAAGAAAGGAAGACTTAAACAAAGCATTACATAATACAAAGGCATTCATGATCATGGTTGGAGTACTTAAGTCAGACTTTCTGACATTATTAAGATGGGTAAATATAAAAACAAACCATTTGTCAAAATTTCTTAAATTTTCAATTCTACATTAACTTATTGCCTTCATTATAGTCTAAGTAAACAAACCAGCCTAACCCACATGAACAAATTCGCATCCTTATCTAATGCTTCCATCTTTTTTAACCCATACGTATGATAGCTGAAATATTTTGATTTTTAAACTTCTTTTAAAGCATAATTTGGCACACAGTCCAAGATGCAAGCAATGCAAAGGCATGCAATAAGCTTAGCCAGCTTTATTACAAGATCAATTTTGAACACCTGTTCAGAGTATCACAGATTACAACAGATATCTTCAAAGCACTAAGTAAATTGTAAATGTGACTAGGCACACTCAGCTCTAGAAAAGCTGATCAGATTTAGTCACACCACCTTGGAAAGCGAGTTGGCTAGGAACATGGTGTTTCAGCTGATCATCCCATCCCCTTATGCATTCAGGAATCTTCCACAGCTTCTCCCACCACCTTTCTTTTGTGAATAAACAGGAAAAAAGATGTATAAAGCTTTATTATAAAGAATAAAAAGGAAAAAGAGAATTGAAAAACACTTGTTTTAATTATCACTTAACATTATCACTTGTGCTCCATCAAAATCTAATAATCATGCCTTTTTAAAAAACATATATACAAAAAAAATATATATATATACACACACAATACAAACTTTTCTACAGCTACCAATTCTGGTTCCTTAGGGGAGCAGAGGATCATATGGAGGGAGTGGGAAATGTTCTTAAATCAACAAAAAGATTATTGCCATAGAATCTAATTTATAAAAAGAAAAGAATGAAGTTGAAATCCTATAAAGATGGAGAAGAAAGGGAAAGGAAAAAAAAAAAAAGCAATAGGTAGCAGGAAATTAACCAACGAAGAAAAATACAGGCTAAGGGAAGAGAACAAAAACTCTTGATAATTGATGTATACATACTATTTTCAACATAGTCCAAAATCATTTTTGATTATTTTTTAACATTTTCTTTATTGAAATAATTAATTCCCTTGGGAGGCACAGCAATGGATAAAAATACACCTAAAAAAATACTCTGCTTAACTGAATCTGTAAAATTCCCAAGAAGTCCAAGTTCAGAAAGGAAATTAAAAACTAGATTAATATGCTCTGAAGTACTGAAGTTCCTGGAAAAAAAAATCAACGGTGTGTGGCATCGTTTCTTAAATGTCTTTGACTCTTCTGCAATGCTCCTGGCTTCAATCTGACTATACATTCTGGCCCACAAATATTTTTAAATTAAACCAGCTTCTGGTTTAACCTCTACTTGAATTTTACTAGCTTAAATTAGAATAAGAAAAATTCCACTGTCTGATTCTGGCAAATTAAACAAAGAATGGTAAAATCTAAGAAAATGATCTGAAATAAATACTACACGTTCCTGTCTTTTTGTTTTGTTTTGTTTTTGTTTTTTTGTGTTTTTTTGCAGTTACGCGGGCCTCTCACTGTTGTGGCCTCTCCTGTTGCGGAGCACAGGCTCCGGACGCGCAGGCTCAGCAGCCTGGCTCACGGGCCCAGCCGCTCCACGGCATGTGGGATCCTCCTGGACCGGAGCACGAACCCGCATCCCCTGCATCGGCAGGCGGACTCTCAACCACTGCACCACCAGGGAAGCCCTACACGTTCCTGTTTCTGCATCAAATTAGGAAACTCTTATTATCACTAGCAATGTCCCAGGTATCTCTCACATAATTCACCCTAAATTATAATTGGGGGTTAAAAACCGTGGGTTGGGCTTCCCTGGTGGCACAGTGGTTGAGAGTCTGCCTGCTGATGCAGGGGACACAGGTTCGTGCCCCAGTCCGGGAGGATCCCACATTCCGCAGAGCGGCTGGGCCCGTGAGCCAGGCCGCTGAGCCTGCGCTCCGCAACGGGAGAGGCTGCGTCAGTGAGAGGCCCGCGTACCGCAAAACAAAAAAACAAAAAAACACCGTGGGTTAATTATAGATCTCTTTCTTCGATTTTCTGTAACTTTGTGTCTAAATATTTATATTACCCTGAAAGATGTTATATATGTCCCTAAAACTGTGCCAAAGAATTGTAGAGGGAATTAGCTCAGTAACTCACATTTTACCTCCAAATGATTCTGTCTGAACAATAGGCATTCACTGCATTAAGAATGTGATTTACAATAGGTACATTTTCATAACTCAATCTAAAGTGAAAGATCCAAAGCTCAGGGGCTTTAGGATGCTGCTGTTTTGCCAGTTCCTTAAATGCTGTTTGGCACATGGTAGCACACAATAAATGTTTGTTGACTGACTAATAATTAAATGGATCTGGAAGGCTTCAATAAAGTTTCTTTCACTATTTCTATAATATAAAATTTGTACCACTGTAACTAAAAATCTTATTAACATTGTCCTACTTTTTTAAGTATAATGGCTCAATCTCCCACTCCTAAAGACCTAAAAACTGTCAAATGCATTTTGGAGTGTTTGAGACATTAACAAATCTCCTTGAAGCTATTTTTTCTCTTCTTTCAATGATAAAAGATGGTATTTATTGGACTACCGTGCTCTAGGCCCTAGATCTAGGAAAACACTAGATATAACAGTAGATTTTACAAAAAATTTTCATGAGTTTTACCCAAACATATTCAAAACTTGAAATTCAGGGTCAGAAAACAAGCCATTATATAAAATGTGGTCACAAGAGTCCTAAGTCTCCTATCAGCGTATCCGTTATGTAGTTCTTACCAGTTTCTGGCTGACAAAACGTATACTGGCTGCTAGAGGAAGAGCCCATGTTGAAGTCTTCCGGACTCTGTGCTTCTTTAACAATTATTGCTTCTTCTTGACTCCCAGTTTCTTCTAACTTAGGTGGCTCAAGTGTAACAATATCAGAATCATCACTGACAGTTCCAAAATAGAGATTGTCATCAGGTAACTTTTCTTCCTCTCGCTGAAGAATCATAATTTTAGAGACAAATTCAACAATTATTTATGGGCCTTATATTTTCTAGGCAGTTCAAAGTATATAATGGTACTTAAGTAGTATGGTGATTGGGTTTAAAATAAGTCCTGCCCAACTGGAAAGGATTACGCAATAGTAGGTTCATCCTAGGGAATTCCCTGGCGGTCCAGTGGTTAGGACTCTGCACTTTCACTGCCAGGGGCCCGGGTTCAATCCCTGGTCAGGGAACTAGGATCTCACAAGCCGTGTGGCAAGCCCAAAAACAAAAACAAAAACAAATAGTAGGCTTATCTTTCAGTGTGAAAATACCATCAAACCTGTTGGCAACTCTCTTTTTCAGAATTAAATCAAACTGCTGTCTACCATTCATTCGTGGGCTGCAGAAGCTGAGAAACAAACCCACCTTTCCAACCCAATGTCCACAAAAAGGAGAGGATTTGTTTCTCACCAGTTCTACGGGTTTATTTGGGCATAACTCTGTGGTCAGGGAGCCCATAAAAGACTGATTAAATTTTCCTGATAAACTTCAAAAGCTATGTAATGTAAAGGTCATCCAGCTATCTAGTTTTATCTGGAAGTCAAGTAAAATGCCAAAGGACAAAGTTTGTTCTCAAATTTTAAAACTAACCTTCATTTTAGATATGAACCCTTAATTTCTCAATATAATTCAAGAAAGCAACATATTTCTAAAGAAAATATTAGAGGTGAAATGAATAGATCTTTAACACATTACCAAGAAATCGCTTTTCTAAATTAAAAGATAGCTCACTTAATTAGGAGTTATACGGAAGCTAACTTTAATCTTAAAACTCACCAACCTGCAGAATCCCAAATTTTTCAACAAAAGATATTTATAATTCAAATAGGAACAGAACACACAAATAGAAATGGAAGCTTTAATTAGTATTCTCTAATAAATACTGTTTATCATATATCCACATAGTAAAACACAAGGTTACCTCGAGTGCTGACTTCATTTCCTCCAAAGCTGGATAAGTAGCTCCTCCCATTAACACTGTGCCATTCTGGCTGCTCTCTGACATAAAGCAAAGATCAATTTAATTACACTTCATCGACTTTTTTTTTGTCTGCATATATTATATAATATAGGCAGATAAAATCTATTCCTCATTTTTAAAGTGGATTTAAGGAAATGCCACATGTAATTATAACAGTCACTCTATTGTTACTAAAAAGATCTCTGTATTTCAAATATAACTATTTGAAATTGTCAGGGGATAATTTTAGGTACTGAACTGAACTCATTTAAAAATCTACTAAAAACCATAATCCCTAAATAAACAATCTCTACATTACAATTCCAAAGTACTTAAGCCAAGGTGTTTGTAAAAACCTGTTAATATGGAAAACTGATTCTCAGATAATTGACGGCACATTTCCTGAATTCTTAGTTTATTCATAATTCTTAAACGTACCACTATTCTAATGACTGTCAATGCCTAGTAACACAAGAATCAAAACTATGGCTTCAAATTACAAATCTTTACAATAAAAAATGGACTATAAAAAACAAGGCCTCAAAAGAACACAGAAAAACAAGATAATGTCACCATAGCAGATGCAGATATATTTTATAAGAAACTCTCAAAAAACAATATACAAATTAGAGTTTATGTCATATTTTTAATGAAAAAGGCTATAAAATGTTAATAGAAGCTAAAAATATTAAAACAGTATACAATAAGCATCAGGTTTTATGCATAGCAAAGTATATGCATTGTTGGTATAATGTTACCTCCAGATAAAAAGAATTATAGATGGCTTTGAATTTTTTTGCTCATCATTTGTTTTTCAATCATAAATGTGTATTTCTCATATAATTTAACCCCTCCAAAATAACAAAGGGAAAAAAACCCAAACATCACTTGTGTGTGTCATATAGCTCCTAACAGAATATTAATTTGGAGATAAGACTCCTCAACGAAGGTGGACTAGGGTCCAAGGACGCCTGAGGAAGTATGGAAATTTTTTTAAAAATATCTAAATATATGCATTTCTTGGGAGAGACCATCCACAGCTTTCAGATTCTCAAAGAGATCTCTGACCCATGAAAGATGAGAATCACTGTTCAAATGAGAAGAGCAATCAACACATAAGCTGAAAACAAGATTAACAGGTATAATCTTTTATATTTCTGGCCTTGACACATGCACTTTATTCTCCTGACGGAGAAATGTTCTGTTTACATTTTAATGCAATTTTTAAAAGAAAATTTAAGAAGTAATTTTTAAATATGAAGATGTATTAATTATTTGGGTTTCTTAATCCTCTATATAATTAATATGGGCATCAAATCCCACAGAAGAATATATAACATTAATGCAATACAGTAGTTAAATGCCATTTACCATCTATAACCAAAGGTACTCCGAAGTGTGGTAACTGGAGAAGAGTTTAGTAAATCCTTTGTGTGAATAAATAATTTTGTATATCACTAGTCTTAATCAAGGTTAATAATATTTAGTCACTGTTTACACTAGCAGTATCGAAGAGTCATATGGAGGCCCAAGTATGTACTATAGCTACAAACAAACAAACCCCCTGGGCAATTTGGTGCCACTGGGTTCTTTAGGCCTGCCCACCTAATCCACATGAAAATTCAGTGTGACTTGATGATTTAGACTAGCCAGAAAGGCTGCCCACCTAGAAAGAAGGCAAGATTCATAATGTTGCTCACATATCCTATTAAAAAAAAAAAGAAAAATCAGACTTCTTTAAACTTACCTCCCTGCTCTAACTGCAATACTTGTAGCTCCTCTTGTGATAAAGATGAACATTCTGGGGTGAGCTCACAGCTGTCACTGGCTGCACCATGTTCAGAATTCACCAACTCTGTATCAGACCCCTAGATAAAAAGTGTTAATCAGTTATTCGTCTATCAGCTGCCCAAAGCTGGATGTGACTACATGTAGATGCTTCCATTTTTAAAAGTCCCAGATGCTGCTATACTCCAAAGGGAACAGTATCTATTCCTTTTTCTTTTTTAATTTAAATTTTTGGTCACATTGGGTCTCGTTGCTGCATGTGGGCTTTCTCTAGTTGTGGCGAGCGGGGGCTACTTTTCGTTGCGGCGCGTGGGCTTCTCATTGCGGCAGCTTCTCTTGTTGCAGAGCATGGGTTCTAGGGGCACAGGCTTCAGTAGTTGTGGCACACAGGCTCAGTAGTTGTGGTGCACAGGCTTAGTTGCTCCACGGCATGTGGGATCTTCCTGGACCAGGAATCGAACCCATGTCCCCTGCATTGGCAGGTGGATTCTTAACCACTGCACTACCAGGGAAGTCCAGTATCTATTCCGTTTGTTCAAGTTAGTCCATAAAACCTACAGCAGGGGAGCCATAGGTTTAGATTCTAAAAGAAGTCAGTCCTGGGACTTCCCTTGTGGCACAGTGGTTAAGAATCCACCTGCCAATGCAGGGGACATGAGTTCGAGCCCTGGTCCGGAAAGATCCAACATGCCGTGGAGCAACTAAGCCCATATGCCACAACAACTGAGCCCGCATGCCACAACTACTGAAGCCTGTGTACCTAGAACCCATGCTCTGCAACAAGAGAAGCCACCAAAATGAGAAGCCGCGCACCACAATGAAGAGTAGCCCCCACTCACAGCAACGAAAGACCCAACACAGCCAAAAATAAATAAATTTTTTAAAATCTTAAAAACAATAAAATAAAAGAAGTCAGTCTAAAAGTCCAACACTCTAACTATGCTATAAGCCCAAGCAATAAATCTGAATCCCAGAGAATAAGTTTCTAAATTTAGCTATTTCTATTAATTTGCTTCTACTCAACACTTATAGAACTACTCTACGCAAGACATTTTGCTAGTGTCACAGGGTATGAAAAACTGAAATCTAAAATTCAGATTTATAGCCTATTCAGAGAAACAGCCACAAGCAAATAACTACTTATTATTGCAACATATGACTAAAAAGGTTTAAGGGCAAGGATTAAAATTAACCTATTAGATTAATGGAGTAAACTTTCCTTATAAAATTTCACACTCTTTTATTCTTCCAAGGTTTTCCTTCTTACTTTGATGTCAGACTGTCTTTTCTTTAATAAAAGTGTATCTTAACAGGGTTTTTTTCTCATCTTAATTAGCAAAATAAGTTATCCACTAATGATTCTGTCTCTCTCCAGGCCCCTCCCTCAATTTTCCTATAATTTAGTAATCCATAAAATCAAAGGTCTGAGTTCTCCTGATATACATAACTCACAACAGCAAAAACTAAGAGACGTCATTAAAGCAGTGGGTTTGAGTTGAGTCCTAAAAAGAATTCTGAGTATAAGATTTTGGGATTGCCTAAAGTGGCAGGAGAATGGTAGTAACAGACACAAGGTTCAGGTTGAATTGTGAGTCACCGGGGAGACCAGATCTGGCCTAAATCAGAATGGTAGCAATGGTAAAGGAAAAGGAAATACATGTAAGAGACATTAGCAAGAAAGAGTAGAACCTGATAACAAGATATGGAAGGAAGAAGGATAAAGGTACAAATATGATCAACTCTGTGACAAGGTATTTCTAATACAGAATGCCCAAATGACACACTTGGCTAAATGCCAGAAAAGTCTGCTATCTTGCTTCACACTACAGACTCCCACAGCTGCCTTACTTCTATACTGTTAATTATCCTTGAAGGAGAAATTGTTACTATGAGAGTTGATCTAAGCTTTGGAGAAAACAGGTTAAAAATAGAAAAGTCACTTATTAAAAAAAAGAAGAAAAAGAAACCACATTAATTTCAACTGGTACAGCTGCTAATAAATTTTAAAACTTTCTCGCAGAAACTTCGGTTAATGTTGTTTTCTAGAAGTCATGACTAACCAATTGTCTAAATATTAAATTATCAAAGGAATCATAAAAAATAGCGTTTAAAATTTTTATTAAAAAAAAATTTTATTGATGAAGGAAAATAAGTGAGGCTTGAGTCTAAAAATAAACAGGAAAATTATAGATAAATCCATTAACACTTTAAATAGGTATAGTTTTTATCTTACTGCTTCTATACATCACTATTTTATGATTTTTCTGTAATTAACATACATTACCAGTGTGAGAAAATAAATTACTGTTTATTATGTACTAGTTATGTAACATCATATTTCTATAATCAAATTCATTTTGTAAGAGTTCTAGCCATAGTCCTTTTTCCATCAAGTTCTGAAATGATAATATAACGTAACATAACGTAACATAACATGGGTGGAACACATGTTCTCCATGCTCCTTGGTCTGTTTAAACCCAGGCTCTGATGTTTTCTAGTTACATAATCTTGGCCAAATTACTGAATCTCCGTAAGCTTTGGTCCTCTCAACTATCAAATGAGAATGAAAACAATCTGTACCACAGAGGGTTGTTTAAAATTATGAGAACATAAGTAAAGCACAGGACCTGACCAATAATAAGCCCTCAGTAAATACCTGCCTAATGTCTCAAAGCTGAGGAAAGCAATGTCCAATAACATGCTGGCTCGTGAAGAGTTTTCAGCAGTGAAGTGAAATGTAGGTGGGAAAAGCTATAGACAATGGAACCTTATGCTTAAATGTAAAAAACTAATGGCCTTCAAAGAACCCAGTTTACATCACTGTTAACACTGTAATATTACAAACTGCCTTATAAAAAGTATTAAGTAGCATACCTCATGATTGATGACAGTCCAACCACAAGATGAATCACTGTCACTGGAATTTTCAGACATTTTTCAGGTCTACAAATACAAAAACATATTGATATGTGGGACACATTTTTAAAAATTCTATAGGAAGTACTATATGTGACCCAAGTACAAAAAGTGGCGCTTACTGCCTTCCAGGTGAAACTGAGACAACCCACCCACAGATTTACCAGACAGGATATGCTTGCATATCTATATGAACAAATACAACCAAACTTTATGACAAGGAGATCCTCCTGAGCCAAAACAGTGTAGACGGTCGTACTGTGGAATGAAGAGGCAAGCTGGATCTGAAAGAAAATGTAGGATTTGGCCAGGCAGAAACAAAGGTAAATGAAAACAATCTGACTCTGAGGAAGTCAACTGCTGAGGGAACGACAAATGGGGAACAGTCAGCCAGAGCAAAAGCCTATGTTTTCAATGAACAGTACGGTGTGAAAATCACGGCTGAAGAAACCAAGTGGGGGAAAGAAGAGTTCCAAGGCCCAGCAAAATGAAATCTACTGTTGTCAACATGAAGCAATTAATATTTTCAAGCAGGGAAGGAATGTGATCAAATGGTTTTTAGGAAAATAACCATGTTGGTAACACTTCAGTTACATTAAAACAGGGGAAGAAAAAGACCAGAAGTTGGTTAGAAACTTGTGGCCATTGGCAATAACCTAGATAGACTCAAGTCCTAAACCAGCACACATTGGTCACTCTACCCAGTTTGTTCTACCCTTTCTACCTGAAACTCCTATTTAAACTTCAAAATTAAGCTCATTGGGCTTCCCTGGTGGCACAGTGGTTGAGAGTCTGCCTGCCGATGCAGGGAACATGGGTTCGTGCCCTGGTCCGGGAAGATCCCACATACCGCGGAGCGGCTGGGCCCGTAAGCCATGGCCGCTGAGCCTGTGCTGCGCAACGGGAGAGGCCACAACAGTGAGAGGCCCGCATGCCGGGGTGGGGGTGGGGGGGGGGGGGGGGGGGGGGGGAAATTAAGCTCATTAAAGTAAATGGTATCTTGCTGACTTTGTTCTAAACATATGTCTTATAAATGCTTCTATTATTGCACATATTCTGAGAACCCATTATATCCAAGTTGATGGTTAGTGTTCTAACAGAACTCTACTGCAGACAATTTAATATGGAACCAGTGCACAAATGAAAACAGGGCAAAAAATATAGATGTGGACCGTCCATTAGTGATTCTGGAAACTCTCGTAAATTAATATTTTAAAAAGAGAAGATACAGAGAGGTGGCTGGTCACTGATAGTATAAAATAAGCATGTTTTCAGACAAATTATTCAAAATCTAAAATAAGACATAAAGACGACTGTGTGACTTTTAATGTCACTCGAGACAGAACATTTTACAATAAGTTCACCTGAGGTCATTTGATTGTTTGATTTCCCATTTACAACTAATTAGGGCCCAGGCAGTTTCTAAATTTAAAGGTAAATTTGTAAAAACAAACAAACAAAAAACTATTACAATGAAATGCGTCCAGTAGAGAATACTATCCCAAAGGATAGGCTTAAATACCCTCCCTATAGGATATAGCAATTTTATTTCACCATTCCTTATTAAACTGACTACATAAAGCCCAATTTCTCATTGAGCCAGTTTTCATGAGTTAAAAACTTTGATGTTACTATTTGTATTTGAATTATTTTATAACAATTCGAAAGGTGTGGGTTAACATATTAGACTGCACAAAGACTGAGCAGTTAACTTTGCAGGAAGAAAGGAAAATGGTCAAAGCAGGCTTTATAAATGAGGTTGTAATGTTTTTGACATGCTGGACAGCATGTTTTTTAACTGAATTAGTTGCCAAAATTTTAAAATTGAGAGCTATCACAAAAAAATTAAATTCTGGTTCCTTACTGCCAAAAGAGAAAATATGACGACACTGGAAGGATTTCCCAAGAGATAATGGGAAAAGCTCTACAAAAATAAAGGCAGAAAAAGTTAAAGAACATGACACTTCTAAGAAATGCAATTAATTTAGCATGAGTGAAGTATTAAAAGAAGACATCTGAAAATCAGAATCTTTCAAAGGGCACATATTAAAATGGGGAAACAACTAAAGGGCCCTAGACCTGTGGGATACAAAGAATCAATGCAATATTCCATGAAAAAGATGAGCACCTAAATTTAACCAGTATTGATGAGGGGGAGAGGGTAAATAGGATGGGGAGGGGTTAGGAGAGATTTAGCAAGACAGACAGGAAAGATTTTTAAAGGACTGAATAACCAAGAAGAATAACAAAGAATAGAAAAGAGAAAGTGTAGTATATTTTGGTTTAAGTGACTTGGTATTTGGAAAAACCATTCTATATGGAACAAGTAGGTAGGGCTTTACAATTAAGAAAATTTGCCTAGGACTTCCCTGGTGGCACAGTGGTTAAGAATCCACCTGCCAGTGCAGGGGACACGGGTTTCAGCCCCGGTCCAGGAAGATCCCACATGCTGCGGAGCAACTAAGCCTGTGCGCCACGACTACTGAGCCTGCACTCTAGAGCCCGCGAGCCACAACTACTGAGCCCCGTGAGCCTAGAGCTCGTGCTCTGCAACAAGAGAAGCCACCACAGTGAGAAGCCCACACACAGCAATGAAGAGTAGCCCCCACTCGCTGCAACCAGAGAAGGCCTGCGTGCAGCAACAAGACCCAACACAGTCAAAAATAAATAAATAACATTTTTTTTAAAAAAAGGAAAATTGGCCTTAAAAAAAGCAATCATTCTTCACCATGTGAAAGCTCCTCTTCCCTTTGCAAACCCCCAGTTCCTAACCTCCTCTAGCAGCCCACATTCTCACTGCTGCTCCATCTCACCCCCAGACTTACATAACCTTCCAAAACTCCTGGGATACAAGACCTGATCAGGGATATTTAATGTGTATATATCTCCTGCTCTTATCTAGGTAATTTCCATTTAAACAGTTCTAAATAGATAGTCCCCAGCTTTTGTTTTCCAATCAAGAACTCTAATTGCTCTGGGGATAAGCAAAGACAAGATTTCAAAAGAAAGTTACGTACATTGCTAAACTGGGACTTTGTCATATTTGAATTTCTCAAATCAAGGAGCCCATTTTAATCTGATCCCAGTTTAATTCTTTGTTTACTTGCCCTGGAGGAAGAACAAGCTTCACGTCTAGCCCAAATGAGGAAAAAAAGATTCCCCTGCTGGCCATAACATCACAGTAAGAGTTTGGTAAGCAAAATTCACAGCCCTACTAAAGAACCCTCTTAATTCAGGCGTTTTCAAAAACTTGGGTGAGGGCTTCCCTGGTGGCGCAGTGGTTGAGAGTCCGCCTGCCGATGCAGGGGACACGGGTTCGTGCCCTGGTCCAGCAAGATCCCACATGACACGGAGCGGCTGGGCCCGTGAGCCATGGCCACTGAGCCTGCGCTCCGCGACGGGAGAGGCCACAACAGTGAGAGGCCCGTGTACCGCAAAAAAAAGTTGGGTGCACTGAAATTAAATCAAAATTTTAAAAAGTAAATTTCTGAGCCCCATCCTAGACACATTGACTCTGAAAGCTGCCTCTGTATTTGAACTTCCCCACTATAGCCAGTTATCTTCTTAAAATGGTAATATTTTGTCATTCCTTAAAAATGTTAAGATTTTCATACTGTCTTCAGGATAATGCCCACAGGCCTTAAATATCAAGTGTTTTGTCTCTAGCATCTCATCCTCTCTCCCTCCATCCCCTCCCTCTCCCCTCCACCTGTTCAATTCTGCTAAAAAGCTTAGCTTTCTCTTAATTCAGGGGCTTTGCATATTCTGATCTCAGTTCCTCACCTGCTTACTTCTACCCAAACTCCTGTGCCCACTCTTCTATCTCAGCTAATGCATCACTTCGTGAACCATTCCCTGACCCCATCCCCAAAGACTAGTATATTCCCTAATCTACTACTTATAATACAATACTACGCTGTAATTGCTTGTTTACTTGACCGGTAACACATATTATGCACTCAATAAAGAAAAAAGGTAAACATTTCTGGGTGATGATGCAGTTAGTGACACACTTCTAAACTGTTCCTCAAGGAACTCAAAATTCTGGAGGAATCCATGAGGTTCCTCTCCCCATTATTTTGACCAAAGGTAAATGCAAAAACCTGTTCCATTTTGAGGGCTTTACTAATAATAACTTAGAAATAAACAGTTTATGGGAAAGTTACAAAGGCATAAAAATCATACAAAGTTATAAAGCTAAGGGTACTTTATGAAGATGATAAACTTGAAGCCCTTTTCTAGACTCAGGCTTCGTTTTATTTCTCAGGGTAGCTTCTTTACCCCAATCTCAGGTCATATATTTCCCCATTGCTTTTTGGATGATCACTAGTAGGTTTCTCAGGCCTTTCAAATAAAGCATCTACAAAACTAAGATCATCTTCCTGCTCCTCTTCCTGTTTCTATCATCTCAGAGAACAGCATTAGCCAAAAATAATCTGGCTGCAAGAAAAAGCCACCAAACATCAGGTCAAAAAGCCTAGATTTAGGATAACTACATTTGGGATAACTAAAACTTGCCTTGACCCAAAAATCCAATCAGGTCTAAATCCTTATCCACTTCCTATCCCAACTTCATCATTTCCCACTTCTATTACAGTGACGGCTCTCTAAAAGATCTCTGCCTGCAGTTTCAAATTCCCCTCCAGTCACTCCTTCCCAATGCTGTCCCTACTCTGTTTATCCTAACACATAAATCTGATCACTTAATCAATCACTTAAAATTGGTCTCTAGTACCTTCAAGATAAACTCCAAAATCCTATAATAATAGCCTCTAGAACAGAGACAAATCATTTAAATTGATTCTCACTTCATAAGAAATCCTATGGTACATTTCTTCACAACATGTAAGACTTTATTCATAGAACTCCATGGAAGAGAATTTGACACTAAGCATTATAAACATACGGTTTCCACATAGAATATAGCACATGTTAGTCATATTAGGATGTAAATTTATTACATGGATGTTTGTATCTCATTTATGAAGTTACTTAAGGTAGAAGGATTATACTACACTAGTATAATC